ACACACACACACACACACACACACACACACACACACACGGTATAAAATAATAGGTTAAGTCAGGGTTTCCCATCTCACCTCCTGTTGGGGCTGAAGGTTGGTTTTGCAACTCTTGAATCCAGGAGTGCTGTATGGCGACTGATGCCATTTCTGCAAACAGAAGCATTATGAGTTAACGCGGTGATTGTGCACAACACAACAGACTACCTGGACAGAGTGCCAACATACAATAAATACATACTGACCATAGCAGACAGGGGCTGATGTCTGGTGTTGCGGACTCTCTGTGGGGTCCATTTGTTCAGCGCCGTCTCTTTGAGTGCTGCTGATGCTGCTGCTCAGGAGAAAAAAGCCACGTCACATCAGATTAAAAGGACAACGAGATAAGAGTGCTTTGGGTTTTATAAAGATAACGAGTGGAGCAATGCTGCGTCTTACTTGCTGGCACAGCAGTCGCCTCTGGACGATTTTTTCTAACCGGCACTCTCTGAGCCTGAAGACAGAAGAAATTATTTCAAAGGCAGCACTTAAAAAGCAAAAAAGCAATAACAACAATGTAACAAGTATGAGGAAGTACAGAAGTGAACACAAATTTACTGTGTAGATTGAAGTCGCCCTGCTTGGTGGACAGACTGAACTTCGGGGTGTTGTGCCCACGGGCCCTCCGGCTTTCACTCCCTCGTTCTGGAGGATGCTTTGCAGCGCAGCGGGGTCTGGAGAGAACTGCACAGACTTCACTGATCCTGTGAGAAAAGTACAGACAACAATCATTTAAATAATATGACGTAAGTGTAATACTGAACATTATGAACACCCAACTAACACTGCCTGATGTTTAGTTTGAATAAAATTGGCTTCCAGTTAATGAGACTCATAATTGTGGCATTTTTCCTTGGGGATTTTACACAGGACGAGAGAACACACACGTATAGTGAGATATATTTATATAGTATTTCAAAGGGACTGCTCAGCCATCTACTATAAAATAAGTCTTTTACAATGTTCACATGTATGTGCCAAGCGCATGCTGTGTTCTCCATCTTACACTGACCTGCAGGGGCTCCAGCTTTCTGTCGGCTCGCCATGACGGACACTCGCTGGGGCTGCACACATGATCATTGGACACCTTTAAAAAATGTTTACCTGCTGCAACTATGGGCATTAAAAACAAGCAAACAAAAAAAAGCATGATAAAGAATGCACCGCTGTGAATCCAACTCACAAAATAGTTGTACGGTTTGGACTGTGGAGTCGTAGGCGCCGGACCTGTGACGCCCACTCCTTCGTTCCGGAGGATGCTAAGCAAAGCCGCGTGGTCAGGCTGGAAGTTCTCCCCCTTTTCTATAATGCAAAAGAAAAAAGCCCAAGAGAAACTCTCTTAATATCTTCATTTTCACTAGACAAAATAAATGGATTTCCATGGATTTAAAGGAGTGAGGGAAATACGGCCTGCAAGCTTTAAGTGATTATCCACAAAATATAGGTGGAAGTTTGTGCCTTAGATGCGATAAATAAACAAGCTTACCACCTTTTGAAGAATTGCACTGCGTGGTCCGACTAGCATGTGCTGTTTTTGAATGGTCTTTTAGACTGAGCAGGTTCATGCTATTCAAATAGACCTCTGCACTGGGAGCAGGCTGTGCAGAAGTAGCAGCACTACCAGGACGGGATGACATAGCGGTGGACAAAGATGAAGTCTGAAATGTGCTGGAAGGCCCAGTTGGTCCCGATAGGTGGGAAGCATCTTCTGTTGTCTTTCCGAGAGGCTTCCCTGCAGCTTTGGTTGAATCCTTGTTGCCCTTTAAAGCGGTTGGATGTTTAGACGGTTTTGTGTTTGCATGAGTCCAAAGCGTTGGGACAGCCAGAGGTTGGTTTTCAGCAGCCGTTCTTGTGCTTTTGGGCTGTGACAGATTAAAAGGTACAGGCCGAGTGAGTGGCTTTTTCTTCGGCGCTTTTCGCTGCAGAAAAAGGAAAATGCTTATTAAACACATCAGACTAACCCGAGTAAATAAAAATATGGAAATCTACAGGATCAAAAGGAGATGCTTACAGCCAGAGGTTTCTCCTCCCACCTGCAGTGGGACTGACTGAAGTCCGAGGGAGTCTGAAGATGGAGGGACTTTGCAAGCACCGGAAGCCTGCTTATACCTGCTTGCAGAGGTGCCTTTTTACCAGTGGCTGAGCTTCCTGGATCTTTGTTCTCAATATCTTTATTGGAAAGGTGAGATGCTGACATGGGTTTGGAAGGCTTTGGGTCTGCTACCTTTTTGTTTTGTTCATTCTTCATTCTGAAAAAAGAAAAACGGTCAGCTTTGTCACACAACCCAGCTCGAGGCTGGGAAATCACCAGAGGCAGCATGCAAAGGGGGAAAAAAGGGGGGAAAAACTGATCCAAGGACAAAGAAAACCAGACAAGATGGGAGGCAGATACAGGAGAGGAACAAGCTGCCTGACATTTTTAATACCAGTACTGATTTGATACCTGAGATTTAGAAAGGTATATTTTACTATGAGACAAACAAATAAACACGCTTCGGTAGACAGACCAAATAAGTCCCAGCTCTTAAATTCTATATCAGTAACTGCGGCTCAAATCATCAGTCTCACCTCATAAAGTCACTGCGGATTTTATTCTGACTCTGTTGACGAAGGATTGGAGAAGAGTCCATGATGAGGAGATAAAGCTGTGAGGAGCAACTGAAGCAACTAAAGACAGAAAGAAATTAAAGCTGAGCAACCAAAATACCAAACAAGGGTAGTATGGAGATGGGCAAAAGACACCAAGCATGCAATGAAAACAACAACAAAAAAGACACACAAGACTTTAAAACGTTAACATGAGCTAATTTAAAGTTCTCAAACAATCTGTCTAATCGTAAAAGCGCATGCCTGTTAGTAACACAGTACAAACCATCGTGCTGACTTGTGAAAATTACCCCAGAGAAGCTAGCTTTACCCCGATCACAAGCCTGGCTACATACGGACCTTCTGTGTTCTTATAATTCAACAGAGTATCCGTTTCTTCCTTCCGATCATCCAGTAAAGTATTTCAGACCGGAACAGCTCCAAATGTTTTGGTTTATCGGGTGTTTTGTGCAGATTTAAAAACCACTAGCCCCGTCTATTCTCACCACAGTGGGCTGTCAACTTCCTGGACTCATATGAGTTTGTAAAAAGCGCGCTTTGCCATTGGTCGAAATAAGAATCCGTATCAGCCAATGGCCGCGTGCGCTTTAGTCAGGATAACGTCTTCTACCAATGAGAAATGGAGTTTCATAAACAACTCCATGGTAACGACGCGAAAGTTGTTTTACCACGTGACAGCGTGTTGCCGCGGCTTCCCCCTATGTGCAAAGTACAGACATTCAGAGAAATCTATAATAATAATAATAATAATAATAATAATAATACAATCTACATAAAGCGGAGCCATTTCAAGGATATAGACTTCCAGAGCTAAAGTAAGTGGAGTTTGATTTATTTGACAAATCATGAGGAATATTAGAAGAATTTTAGATTTTTTGTTATTTTTATTTTATATTCAGATATTTTAATATAAAAATTGTTTAAATCAATGGGATCACGTCAGTTACTGACGTAATGGTTTTGTTGTTGTTTTTAATTTACATTTTGTCACGGTCTGGGTGGCAGACCGTGGGGGACGTTGGAGAAAAGGACCCAAACGCTGGACTTAGTGCAATGAACAGTGCACTTATTTACAGTGGGGGTAAAT